CACTGGTGTCGGTGCTGAGAAAACAAATGCCAACAGCGGCACCACCTAAGGCAGCACCGATGGAGTCGTCACTGCATATGAGACTGGTACCGAGCTTGCCATCACCGACGGGTAGCTCGGCACCCAGCCCGATGGCACCGCATACGTCATCGGCACCAGGGTCACCTGCCACATCGGCGGTACCACCAACATCGGTAGCAACATGGGCAGCGCTACAAGACATGCCACCATACCGCCAACAACCCTCCCCGACAGCAGAGAAAGCTAGACACAAGTCTAGGATATTGATCGCCCCCTCTCCTAGCCTGGAACTGGCTTGTTTCTCCTCAGAGCCTCAGTTTCTGGCTTCTCCATTCTCTGTGTGATTGGAGCACGAGACATGCACCATCCCGGCTATGCAACTTCACCGCCTCTCCCTGCACTACTCACCATCGCCACAGAGCTACCATGGACGTTTGCAATCTCCAACACGCTCACTGGGTAGATCTCATTCACCCAGATCACCCACATACTCCTCTTACTCGAGGCATTACCGCACGATTGGGAGGAGGTACTCTCCTGAGTATTCCCCAAGGAGGTATTACTACGGTGGTCATCATGAACATTGTTATAACTAGGGCTCGACAAATAATGTAATCTACTCGCGCATGGCGAGTAGATTACAACCCGGAAGAGCCACCGCCTGGTGAGCCCTGGTTATAACCATCGCCGACATCATTATTCGCTGGAACATTCTTGCTAGATCTCTTCAATATCACAAATGACAATGCTTGAACAGCAGCACTAGATTACCAACACTTTCCAAAGCCGCCATCAACAGCACACCAACCTGAGTCGGAGGGGATGCAAACATCAGAGCGGAGCCAGTTGCAGGCAGAGTCCCCAACAGATCAGTCCTCCTCCTCCCTGGACGACGCAATCTTCTCAGGTGACTCTTTGCCAACAGATGATATTCAACAGTTTCACGAGTTATTCAAACAAGTGGCAGAGACACAAGAAGTGCAACTTGTCAAAGTACAACAGAAGCAACACCGGCGTCTGAAAAACCTCCAGCTGTCACAAAAATAAAAAATGGTGCCATCCTTGAGATCGCGGACGAGATCCGGCAGTCTCTGGCTTCCTCTCAAGCAACGAATAAAAGGGCAGATAAAAAGTATTTTGTTCCCTCGAAGGAAACGGATTTTTTGTTTGCACATCCGCAACCTAATTCCTTAGTCATGGATGCAGCCTAATAAAGAGCTAAAACACCCCAATATAAGAACTCTTCTTCCGACAAAGAGGGCAAGTGTTTAGACTTGTTTGGGAGGAAAGTTTATTCATCCACCACATTAACCTTGACAATGGCAAATTACACAGTCCTCCTGTCCAACCATAATTTTGATAATTATACAAAATTGATGACACTCATAGAACACCTACCTGATAAGCGTCAGATACTGAAATCAATAGTACAGGAGGGCTACACTGCTTCTAGGGCAGTGTTACAGATAGCCCTGGACACGCTGACATGGCGGCGCAGACCACAGCGACATCAGTGGTGATGCGCAGATTTTCCTGGCTCCAGATGGCATCTGTTCCTAAAGGACTACAATCAAAAGTCGAGGACTTACCCTTCGACAGACAAAGGCTTTTTGCCGAGAAGACAGACCAAGTATTGTACTAGGGTAAAGATTCAAGGATGACCCTGAGGACCCTCGGCATGTACACACCACCTTACCGCCATAAACATTACGCACCATATTACAAACAAAGGCCTTTCTCTTATGCCACACCAAGATACAGACCATATGACCCACAACAGCGCCCAAAGCCACGACAACAAAAACGACAGGGCGCCCAATCCACAGAACAACCGACAGCCAGTTTGATGGACTGGTCGAGGGACTACAGACCACTCCTCTGAAATACCATCCAGAGTCGCAGAAGCTATTTCACCACCGATTACGGCCGTACCAACACAGGTGGTTCACCATCACCACCGACCGTTGGGTCCGCGAGCTAGTAACATCCAGTTACACGATTCCCTTCCTTTCTCTCCCCCCAACCTCTCCCTCCCTCCCCTGTCCCTCTTCAGGGACCTCTCACAAGGCCCTCCTAATGCAAGAAGTCCTGTGTCTTGTACATATTGGCACCATGGAGAGAGTGCCAGAGCAATTTCAGGGCAAAGGATTTTATTCTCGATACTTTCTCACTGAGAAAAAATCTGGGGGATGAAGACTTATTCTGGACCTTCGATGACTCAATCGGTACCTCCAGAAGCACAGGTTCAAGATGGTGACATTAGAGTCTATCATCCCAGCATTCAACACAGGAGATCGGTTTATGTCCCTTGACTTACAGGATGTTTACTTTCATGTGACGATACACCCGGCACACAGGCGTTTCCTCAGATTCCTCATAGGTACGGAACACTTCCAATACATAGTCCTTCTGTTCGGCCTGTCATCAGCACCCAGGGTTTTCTTAAAGACTCTTATCGATGGTGGCTGGCCATCTACACTAGCACGGCATTATGATATTTAGGTACTTAGACGACTGCCTAATCAAGGCACCTTTGTTCAACGATGCAGGGCGTGCTACCGATGTTACAGGAACCCTGTTTGAAACTCTCGGGCTCATAATCAATCTCCTGAAGTAGTTTTTCACTCCCCAAAAGTCCCTCGAGTTCATTGGGGCACGGTTAGATTCTACAACGGCTAGGGCTTACCTTCCTCTAGCCAGATTTCCTCTGGACAGATTCCACAAAATACAAAGCCTCGTGCATACTCTTTCCATCAGCCCCAAAGTCCCCATACTTACCTGCTTGCAGCTCATGGGACATATGGCAGCCACAACTTACATAGTGCAACACGCAAGAGTACATCTCAGATGCCTCCAACACTGGGTAGCTTCCATCTATTGCTCAGGCAACCTCAATGTTCACAGATCAGCATCAGTACTTATGATAGTACGAGACTCCCTAACACGGTAGGCTTCTTCCACCAACATGCTTACCAGCATTCTATTCCATCGTCTACAACCCACGATACAGATTATGACAGACGCCTCTCTTTTGGGTTGAGGAGCCCACTGTGCGGGATGTCACGTTCAAGGTCAATGGACCGCACAGGAATCTCTCCAACATATCAATTTCCTCGAGCTGAGGGCGGTATTCAATGCCTGCAAAAGGTTTCTATCCACCATTCATGGTCACACTATTCAAATCCTTACCGATAACGTGACCACGGTCTATTATATCAACTGGCAAGGGGGAGCCCGCTCCAAGTCTCTCTATGCAGAGACAACGCGATTATGGAACTTGTGCATTCACCACGATGTCACCATGGTCGCTACATACCTCCCAGGAAAGGACAATACCATTGCCGACACGCTTAGCAGTCATTTCTTTCTTTAGCACAAGTGGGAACTCAACCACGACATAACACAGCATCTTTTCCAACGATGGGGGTACCCCATTATAGACCTATTTGTAACACATCACAATGTGAAGTGTCTTGAGTACTGCTCCAGAGTGGGTGTTGGACCGAGGTCCCAGACGATGCATTCCTACTGGACTGGAGCCACCATCTACTCTACGCTTTTCCAGCAATTCCTCTTCTCCCGAAAGCACTGGAGAAAATCTCAATGGACGGAGCCACAGTCCTACTCATAGTCCCGTTTTGGCCCAGACAGACATGGCTCCTACTTCTCTTCCAAATGTCCGTATGCCCTCCATACAATCTGCCAGAATAACCCAACCTTCTGATACAGCGAGGGCTGACCATAAAGCATCCTCAAATCGATCGACTATATCTCACAGCGTAGCTCTTAGCTGGTTCCAACAGGAGGAAGTTGACTGTTCCCAGGAGGTAAAACACGTGCTAATGCACAGTAGATGGGACTCCACACAAACTACTTACCTGCATATATGGCATCGTTTCCACACCTGGTGCACTGCTAATAATCTCGACTCATTCTCTGTTCCTATCCATCGTATCCTCAAATACCTGCTGCACCTCCAACACTAGGGCTCGGCGTTACCATCCATCAGAGTTCATTTCATGGCGATTTCTGCCTTTAGACAACCGGTAAAAGGTTACTCAATATTCACCCATCCCATGACCAAACGATTCCTAAAAAGTATCTCCAGTCTATACTCTCCACAGAGAAAACCCCCGGTTTTATGAGACCTAGAGCTGGTTCTGGACACTCTGACATATCCCCCATTTGAGCCTCTAGCCACCGGTGACTTGGCAACACTCACGACGAAGCTTGTCTTTTTATTAGCGATTACATCTGCACGCCGGGTAGGTGAGTTGGCGGCTCTTTCGGACACATCACCATACACCCTGTTTACCAATCATGGGGTCATACTACCCCCCGACCCAAACTTCTTACTGAAAGTGAACTCAGAGTTTCACATCAAAGAACCCATAATTCTCCCCAGCATTTTACCCCAAGCTGCACTCCTCTAACCATGAAACCCAGCCGTATATCTTGGTCGTACTAGAGCTCTGGCCTTCTACTTGGAGAGAATATGTCCGTTTCGGGAATCTCAACACTTACTACTCTGCACGGCTGAACAATCTAAGGGCCAACCTTTAACGGCACAATGTATTTCCCAGCTGATCTCGCATTGCAACTCTTTGAGTAATAGGCCCCTTCCAAACACAATGAAGGCTTACTCTACCAGAGCAATGGTGACGTCAATGGCCTTCCTCAAAGGAGTTCCCTTGCAAGATATCTGCCGCACAGCAGCTTGGTCCTTGGACATTACATTCACAAAGCATTATGCCATTGACGCTCTTGTGCATGACTCATAATTCAGATTCCCACCTCCATATACCAGGCTACTGCTCTGTAGTCACCTACAGTGGAGCACCCATGGGGACACTACCGAAGAAGAAGAAAAGGAAGTTACTCACCTTGTGCAGTAATGATGGTTCTTCGAGGTGTGTGTCCCTGTGAGTACTCCACGACCTGCCCTCCTCCCCACTTCAGAGTCTCTTTCTGTCGTTCAGATGTGGTCTGATTAGGAGGAACTGTCGGGAGCCAGACCACATGCACACTCAGAAGCTGTGCGAAAGGCACACGATGCCCGCCTCGCATGCGCAGTCCGGCCGAACTATGGCTGTCGAATCTCTGACCTGCGGCACCGGAACAAGCCCGACACCTACAATAGAGCACCTACGGGGGGACACACCTCAAAGAACCGTCATTACTGCACAAGGTGAGTAACTTCCTTTTTCATACTTGCTAAGCAGTTCATCAGTAGTTCTTCTGGTCATCACTAACCCAGCTATTTATATTCCTAATGATCAAATCCTGTATTACTATTACCTGTCTCTTCCTAATAACTAGGATTCCTCACTGTTACCTCAGTCCCTATATGTCACCCTTCTCCCCAAGAGGTATCCTCAGTGCAAGAGAATACCATGATGTCATTTGGAAGAACTTAAAAAACTACTAATAGTCTAGCAGAACCTTAAAGACTAACAAAATATGTAGATGGTATCATGCGCTTTTGTGGGTACAACTCACTTCAGAGTGTTCTGAAGAAAAACTATTTGTTGTTTTTTAAGTTTTTTTCCAATTACAGACTTAACTCGGCTACCCCTCTGAACGAGGGCCCCAACTATAGGATTGTTTCTCTCCACTCCAGTTGGATGTTCTCCTTCTTGGGGACTTTCATCCTCAACAGCACAGAGACTGTCTGTAAAGGAGGGGGGAGGACATCCACCCCCTCCCTAGTCCCAAAAGGTTTGTGGGGTAGGGCTTGCCCGCGTTCACTCCACGGAGGGGCTCCCCGCTACCCCTTTCCCCTTTACTCTCGGCCAATAGGGCGTAGTAGGGTTCCCTTATGCCAGGGTCACCCCGTTATGGCTGGAACCCTCCTACTTAGACCCTGGGGCCCTCCAAATTCCCAGTCCCCGCGGTCCACCAAGTCCAGCTCCTACTGGTCCAGTGGACCCACCTCAGGCGGGCTCCCCACCCTGGGGTCCCACATCACCTGTTGGCTCCTCGGCGGTTGGGGTCGGGCCAGCTCAGGTGCGAGTTCTCCCCAGCGGCCCTCGGTTCGCTCCTCCGAGCCTCGGAAGGTCATTGGGACGCTCCTGAGTCCGTCTGTCGCGGGGTTGGCCACCCCCGAGGCCTCCACGCCCCCTCCTCGGCGTCTCCTGCCCAAGTCTTCCGCCCGCGGGTCGGTCCCCTCTCCAGATGTGCCGGCGCCGCATTTAAAAGCAGACACCGGCTTGCTGCGCATGCACAGCAATACAGCCGGTGCTCCTCCGGCTCTCCGCTTGCGGTGCGAGCTGCCGGCGCTAGTGACAGGGCCAGCTCATCACACACCTTCCCCTCTAAGTCTCGGTTTCAGTTTTCCTCTCCTTCTCCTTCTATCGTTCTGGAGAAGAAGTCTGCGTTGTTATGTTTCCTTCCTGGTCGGTGGGCTACCTCGAATTCATAAGGCTGCAGGGCCAAGTACCACCGCATTATTCGGGGATTCGTTTCCTTCATTGAGTTCAACCATCTTAAGGGAGCATGGTCCGTGACTGGGAGGAAGGGAGCTCCCAGGAGGTAATACCGGAGCGCATCGACCGCCCATCTTACTGCTAGAGCTTCCTTCTCGATTGTCGCATATTGGCGTTCTCTAGGAAACAGCTTGCGACTTAAATAAAGTATGGGGTGCTCGACCCCATGTTCCTCCTGCGACAGCACTGCACCCAGACCTACCTCTGAGGCATCAGTCTGTAAAATAAAAGGTTTGGAGGCTTGCGACTTAAATAAAGTATGGGGTGCTCGACCCCATGTTCCTCCTGCGACAGCACTGCACCCAGACCTACCTCTGAGGCATCAGTCTGTAAAATAAAAGGTTTGGAGAAGTCGGGCTGCGCCAATACCGGAGGCTGGGACAGTCGGAGTTTTAGTGTCTGAAACCCTCGTTCGCAGGATTCGGACCAACTGACCTTCCGTGGTTGGTTATTTCTTGTCAGCTGTTAGTGGGGCGCTGCTATCATTGCGAAATGGGGGACGAATCTCCTATAACAGCTAGCTAGCCCTAGAAATTGACGGACTTGCTTCTTAGTAGAAGGGGCTTTATATTCTTGTAGCGCCTGTACCTTTCCAACTAGCGGCTTCACTTCCCCCCCTCCCTCACTGTGTATCCGAGGTAAGTTACCTCGTGTTGCCCAATGCAGCACTTACCCGGGTTGGCCGTCAGCCCCGCTTTTCCTAGCTCCCCTAATACCGCTCCCATCTGACGCAAGTGATCGGCCCACGAATGACTATAGATGATAATATCATCAATATATGCTGCCGCATACTCCTGGTGATTCCGCAGCACTTTGTCCATTAATCTTTGAAAAGTGGCTGCGGCCCCATGTAACCCGAACGGCATCGTGACAAACTGAAAGAGGCCAAAAGGCGTCGAAAAAGCTGTTTTCTCGCGGGATGCCAGAGTGAGTGGGATTTGCCAATACCCTTTAGTGAGATCTAAGGTGGACAAAAATCTGGCCTGCCCTAGCCGTTCCAACAGGGTATCCACTCGCGGCATCGGGTAAGCGTCAAATCTCGAGATTGCGTTGATTTTACGAAAGACTATGCAAAAGCGGAGCGTCCCGTTAGGCTTGGGCACCAGGACTATAGGGCTCCGCCATTCACTCTTGGACTCCTCGACGATGCCCAAGTTTAACATGGTTTGGAGCTCTTGCTTAACGGGGTCCCACATCTTGTAGGGTAAGGGCCTAACCCCGTCTCGTACTTTCTGGCCGGGCCTGGTGGCTATATGGTGGCTTGTTAATGTCACAGGTCATGGGCGTAACGCCGCACCAACTGCTGGACTTCTGTCCTTTGTCTGTCATCTAAATTGGCGCCCATAGTCACGGGTTCATCTTCCCCCACCCCTCCCGGGTCTGGCCCTAATTCTATTTGGCGATCCAGAGGCATAATTAGTAAGGCCTCCCGGGGGCGCCACTCTTTTAACAGGTTCACGTGATACACTTTGGTATCTTTTCTTCATCCTGATAGTCTTACTTCGTAGTCTATGGGGCCGATTCGCTTCACCACTTCGAATGGACCCTGCCAACGCACTAATAACTTTGACTCTCTTATGGGGAGCAAGAGGAGTACCCTGTCGCCGGGATTAAACTCACGTACCTTCGCTGTTTGATTATAATGCTGTACTTTTCGGACCTGAGCTTCCAGTAAGTTAGCTCTAGCGAACTCTCCAAGTCGCTGTAGCTTTTCCCGCAGTTCTATGATGTAGGTTACGGACCCTCTGGCGTTTGATCCCTGGTCTCTCCAGGTCTCCTTGAGCAGATCTAGAATTCCCCGGGGTCTCCTACCGTACAGCAATTCGAATGGTGCAAATCCTGTAGAAGCTTGGGGTACCTCGCGGATCACGAATAGTAGGGCGGGTAATAGGCGATCCCATTCCTGTGGTTCCTCCACCACGAATCGTCTTAACATCGCCTTCAGCGTCTGGTTGAAGCGTTCTACTAACCCGTCAGTCTGCAGGTGGTAGACGGATGTGTGTAGTGCAGTCACCTTGAACAATTTGCAAAGCTCCTTCATCAAGTTAGTGCGGTCACCTTGAACAATTTGCAAAGCTCCTTCATCAAGTTCGAGGTCAGGTTCGTCCCTTGATCGGTTAAAATTTCCTCGGGAATCCCTACTCTTGAGAATATTTCGACTAGCTTTTCGGCCAGCGTGGAGGCTAAAGTATTCTTCAGGGGAACTGCCTCCGGGTAGTGGGTGGCATAATTGACAACCACCATAATATATCGGGCCCCTCTCTTTGATCTCTCAAGCGGCCCGACTAAGTCTAGCCCTACCCGTGTGAAGGGGACCCCCACAATGGGTAGGGGCACCAACGGCGCCTTAGGGGCTGGCCTTAGGTTGGCGCGCTGGCACTCGGGACAGGATTCACAAAACTCCCGGATTTCCCCGATAGACGCCTGGCCAAAAGAATCTTTGGATAACCCATTGTTCCATCTTTTCTCGGCCTAAGTGCCCGGCCCAAGGGTTGGAGTGTGCCAAGTCTAAGACCTTCCGGCGATAGACCCTCCATGGAACTAGAAGTTGTTTCCTTCGCCCCTCCCCTTCCACTCCCTCGACGACCCGGTACAAGAGGTCATTTCCTACCTCAAAGTAGGGTCCCTGGGGTTCCCTGGAGTTGGGGTCACAATCCTCTGGAGGTTCACGGGCTTACTCCCACGCCCGGCTAAGCGAGGGATCCTCCCGCTGCTCCTGCAGGAAATCCTTTCCCTCTAATTCTTCCAACCCTGGGGTGGACTCATGTATCGTGTTGCCCTGGGCTCCAACCTGTGGGCACCTTTCCGTTGTCCCCTCTTCCTTGCTGCGTTCCTCTGGTTGGCTCCACTCCTGCAGTATCTGTCGAAACCCGGGCCAATCCCTCCCCAATATAGCAGGGTACACGAGGTCTGGCACTAAGGCTACGCGGCAGAAATTCTCTCCCTATTGATCTCGCACCCGCACCTTAGTCGTGGGGTAGGATCTAACATTGCCGTGAATACATTGCATCTGTACCGGGGGTCCGTCCACCCGGGCCCTGGGGACCAGACTGGCACGAAGCAGCATCTGGCTGCATCCTGAATCAACCAGTGCAGTAACCTCTACGCCGTTGAGCACTGTCGTGGCTGTAATGCATTGGGGCTTCAGGAGGTTCTCGCCTGGCCCTTCTGCTAGCACCTCCCCATAAGAACAGTCCATAAAAGGACAATCTCTTCTAAAATGGCCCTCCTGGCCACACTCGAAACACATGTTCCGGGGGGGGGGGGGGCTTTGTTCCCTTTGTTCATCTTCACTCCCGGGGCGGGGGGCCAACCCCCGGCCCCAGCTAGCCCTCCGGGTGGGTATGGGTCGAGACGGCGAGCTACTTCTTGGCTCACCCCTACCCCTGGGTTGCAGAGCCCTCGGTTCTCTTTGTGGGCCGCCCCTTGATGCCTTCCCCCCGGCTCCATTTCTCCTGGGCCCTCGGCGGCCATATAATCTTCCATTAGATTTACTGCATCAGTTAGGGCTTTGGGACGGTGGCGCCAGACCCACCTTTGAGCCCCCGCAGGGAGGATTTGCAGGAACTGCTCAAGGATGATCATTTCCACGACCTGGGCCCCGATCGCTTGTCTGGCTCTAGCCAGCGCCAGCCCAAGTCCCTCAACTTCTGGGTCACAGCCTTAGGGCGGGCCCCCGGAGGAAATCGTTCCATCCTGAACCGCGCCCGATAGGTCCCAGGATGACGGGATTATTACCGGTCTGATCAAGAATGGCTTCTTTAACTTTATAATAGTTCAGTGCTTCCCGATCTGGATGCCTCCTGGGCCGGGCCGGTGAGGTATGGGGCCAGCAGGGTAGCCCAATGCTCCTCTGGCCACCGGGCCGCGGTGGCCACGCGCTCGAACGTGACTAAAAATGCTTCGGGGTCATTCCCTAGCTCCATCTTGGCCAGACGTACCGGCAGCTAAGGGAA